TGTGATTAGTCAAAGACTAATTTTAAAGTTTGCTCTACACTTTTAGAAGGAAACCTCAAGATTTCGTTGAATTTCTTTTGACCCTGTTTCCCCAAATGTTCTCTGATCCAGGCTGAACTTCAGTTTTGACTTTACCTGGGTCTCATCCGCACTTCAAACTGAATTAGATACCGGGTGATGTTAATCCCAGCCACTTTTCCCGTCCAGGCCTGGCCGCATTTAAACAGGGAATGTCGATTATGCAGACATGCATTTGCTATTGCAATTGACTACATTACTTATTGTGGATAAAAGTAGTTCTCGAGGCATGTGAAATTCACTGGCTTGCTTTGTTTGGCATATATAAAACATGTTGGTGTGTTGATAAAATTAGGTAGCAACAGCTGATCAATCTTGATAAAGTACCTAACATTTAGTTTGAAGAATCGAGTAGAAGAAATGCGTAAAGCGGCCTCACCGGAAGCCGGAGCTGTGATTGTAAATTTGTGTGAAAAAGATCTAAGTTCACTGTCTCGCGGCCCCGATGAATTCTTGCTGAGCTGCGTCAGTCATATGACGGATATCGCCAGAGCAAGAAGCCATGCTTCACGATAATTCAGCAAAACACAATGGCAAGAAAAGTGACCAGCTGCAATCCAACCTACCTCTCATAGCTGGACATTTTACACCCACCGAATAGCTGCATCCTCCCCTAAATCACGTATATTTTTTAATCCTGAAATGTTGATGCATGTGAATGCATTCCATTGCATGTGTGTTGCGTGCATGTGTGAAAGGATGCAACTGTTTGGTCACAATTGCATACATTTTACGCTTCACCTTCAGCCACTTCACTCTTCAACAAGCATAGAGGAAAGTATAGAAAGACAACCGAATCATGATATTTCATATGCCATCTTTTTTGTCTTCATGTGCTGGTGAATTATCGTAAAGTATGATCTCCTTTTCTAATATGCCCGTCACATGAGGTAAGAAAGCTCAGCAGGGATTCATAGGATTCGCGGTACGCTGAGCCGAGGAGTTATTTGCACAAATATGCATCCCCACCTACAAGACGACCTTGCCCGGCTTCCGGTGAGATGAACTTATGAATCCCTTCCATTCGCCACTTCAAGCGAATTAAAGATACCAGAAAATTTCAATATTTCAAGGGCTTTTTCGAAAAACACTTTTTCCTTATAGTTCGTCAGTCCACATTCAGCTCTGAATAGCACTATTTTGTATAGACTGGATACATACTAAAAGGATATTTCATCAATTAGGTAGCGGATAAATTGATGGTAGCCCTTACTCAGTGAGAAAGTTGACTTCATTACCTCGACGATGAAGCCAACGGGACGACTTTCAACTCATTAGAGCTAAGTTTTGTAGACTGAATTTTCCCATGAATTCCATCTGACTTCACCTCATGAGCTGTCCAGGCTAGAACAGTGATATGGCATGGTCGTACTGTAGATATATCGTTAAATTAATGAAAAATGATTACCTTCCTAAACACAGACTAGCAAAATATCACGAAGTAACGAGACCTAAAACAGTTATAATTGTGACAAAGCCTAAGGATTTATGTTATTGGGGAGACTTTCACTTCGTATGAAAGTGCATGAAGAAGAGCTTCGAAGGTCGATCTCACCAGAAGCCGATGGTTGATTCGCATTGTACGTCGTTTGGGCTTTAATAAGACATTTAGGGTGACGCAGTCTTCTTCTGTGAGATCGACCTACGAATTTTTTCTTCATGCATTTTCATACGAAATGAAACCTCTCCAAAAATGTTATCTCAGGTGATTCATCGAAACCCAGTTACTCTCTGTACCTATAGGAGTAACAGTTAATATACTAAACAAGGAGTATGGATAGGCAAAACAACTTCCTCATATAGCTTGCGTTTTGTAGGTAGGTTTTTGAGATTACTTGCACACACCAGCCGAATTCGCGTTCCGCTAGGAGTGCGAGGTCGAAACCCCAATCTACTTCAGTCTGGATGAGAATACATTTTATGGAAAGCAAGCCAATTTCAAATTCAATAGAAATACGAGGTCTATTAAACTGCCTGAGGGAAAATTCAATTATAAGTCCTTTCTCAGCTTAAACGAAATAGGCTTAGTACAGCTCTTATATCTTCTTCATATATCATCAGCCGAAGGGGTAAAGTCAAGTTATGATTACGCTAGTCTGAAGGCGATAGCTTAAAGTTCCGGTTAACTATGACGACTGTTATAATAAATTTGATCGTGGCTATTCGAAAGCTGATCGACCTCAGGATGGCCCATTTTCTAATGATGCTGTCACAGGAGATGATGCCATTTCTGTCCAAGATGAAGTATAAGAGTAGGGTTTAGAGACTACCAGTAAATCCGTATAATGAGATGTATTCACCCTATTTCGTCTAAGGTGCTGCAGGACTGGTAGAAGAAGAATTTTCCCATAATGATATGAGTTGAGCTGACGTTTTCCATTGAATTTCACATAGCCTTGCTTTCCCA